AAATCATCCTGCACATCAAGTTTCTACAGCATTGTTTTTCCTCATGTCATGCCATGATGGACATACCGTACAGGGAACGTCGCTGAATAAGTCCGCGCTAAAATATCGGAATTGTTTTTTTAATTATCCCATCACAGATGACTACCACTCTGGTCCACTAAAAGAGTCCGCTTTGCATTTGGATTGGCAGAATTTTTCTAACCTTGCGTTTCATTGCAATTTAATTGGCTCACCAAATAGCGCGAAGTCTTCTCTTTGATTGGCTCTTTTGAGCGTGTTCCAGATCGTTATGCCTCAAACGTTAGAGCGGGAAGAAAAAGTTGCTCGTTCTCGCTGCACAAACATAGACCCGCTGATAAGTGACAATACAATTTTACGCCTCGTGCCCAATACATTGCTTGCTCCCCTCGTTGTTGTCGTGACCCCTGCACCAATGCCGAAACGTACAACTCCGCCTAAACCGAACCACGACAAGCGCAAGCTCTCCGACCTGCAGCGTCGCGCCATCTACGAAAGGCTGCTAGGGTGCAGCAACAACGGTCGGCTCGTCCATGGGGAGTACACAGCCACCGCCGCCATCTTCACATGCCACTGGAAGACGGTCGCTCGCATCTGGAAGCGAGGACAAGACTCTCTCCGTCATGGCAGCGTCGTTGCCGTCGTTGATGCCAAATTCAAAGGTAAAACCTCTACATTTCAATATTTATGAAGTGTTATATCGATTTCTACAAGGTATAGATTTTAACAATTTCACTATGATAGGGAATTCAGGGCCGAAAGTGCAACGCACCCCGAGCGACATTAGGGCCGCCATCAAGGCAGTACCATTGGTTGCCCGCCAGACATTGCGTTCTGTGGCGGAGCACTCTGGGGTCCCGAAGACCACCCTCGTTCGACACATGGCGGAAGAAGACCAACTGAAGTGCAAGTCAAGCTACTCGAAGCCGTTTCTCACCAAAGACAATGAAAGAAGCCGCGTGAAGCATGCAATATCTTTTCATTTTTAGTCGTCGAAAAAAATCATTTTTTTCCTATATGCACGACTTTGTGCATGTTGATGAAAAGTGTTTTTTTTAACGACTGTAAAGAAGAGATATTATGCATATGAAGATGAAGTCCTCCCCACAAGAAAATTGAAGTCCAAACGATTTATCACGAAGGTTATGTTTTTGGCTGCGGTGACGCGGCCAATATATGATTTGCACAAAAAATCTATGTTTGATGGGAAGTTGGGCGTTTGGCCTTTCATTGAAAG